TTCTTCTTGGGTTGATTTTGTTGTGTCATGATTTTGTGTGGCTGACACCATGAAATCTAATTTTTCTACTTTTTCTGGTTTCTTATTATCTTGTTAGATGAGTGAACTTGAAGGTGCACTTGAGAGAAGAACACTGACCTATACCTTGTGGAATCAGGCAGCAACCAAGATAGAGAATAATTGGCATCCTGTTACATTTAGCTATGAAGATGCAGACCCTAAATGGATCAATGAAATAAAGGTTATTACTTCTCATCCCTAATGTTATTTGCTTTTCATCAAGTCCACTTCTTTTTGATCAATTCATTTTTCTGTGCTCCGGATGGTATTTTAATCCCTTAAATTTGACGTTCATTGGGGGCTTTGCTTTGTATATTTCATTGCTTTCGTTGTTTTATTGAACAGGCTATCAACCGTGTGAACAATGAGAGTGAATTTAGGACTGAGTTGATGCGGGAGCATAGTGTTCTTTTTAATGATTAGTTTTAGGGTTGTTTGTTTTGCATTAAAATCCTCAAATTAAAATCATAAACGTATTATTATTGTCAAAAATTAAATTAAAACTTTTTGTTTTTCTATACAAATTAATGAAAAAAATATAATTTAATAATAACATTAAGTTTTTTTAAGAAATAATAAAATTTAAATTACAATATTGATCATTATAAATTAAGATTAAAATTTTGATCAATGTAAATTGAAATTATTTTCTTAATTAATTATTACATTTGACATAAAATTTAAATTTTAAAAATAAAATATTATAAAAAATAAAAAATATATATTATATTTAACATTTTCCAAACATTTCTACATTCTCTACGTTTGTGTTTTTGGGCATCGTGGTGTGCAAGTGGCAAATCAGGTGGTCCCATGTCAGCTCCCGTAAGAAATTCCATTAGTTAACGGACATTGATAAAATAAATTATTTTAATATACGATTGATAGTTTATAAATTATTTTTGAAGAAAAAATTATTCTTAAATTAAATTGATATAGGTCACATAATTAATAAATTATTTATTAAATTTAAT